TTATTCTATGTTTTGTACCATAAATGAAACAGTTTGTATTATATGATATTATATCATAAACTATTATCTTATAGTATATCATAAACTATTATATTATATTATATTACATTATATTATATTATTTCATATGTTTTATAATGTTTTTTATATGATATCTTATATTATATCCATTTTTATATATTATATTGTATTGCTGTTTGTTTTTTTTTCAATATTTCATTATATATTCCATGATAATATTATATATTGTACATGATATGTTATGTTAAAATTAATATGAATCATAATAATATTGATATGAATAGAAACATAAATATGAATAACATAAGTATAGATATGCAGAATATGTTGGTCGATCGCGTCGGGAACAACGTACCAAAACTCGAGTTTAAGCGCCTCGAGATGCGTTTTGTGTGAGAGGGTTGTCGATCGTGCTTCGAACACGTACAAAAACTCGAGTTTTCGCGCCTCGAGATGCGTTTCGTGTGAGAGGGCGGGTCGTCAATCGTGCCCGGAAAACCTTTCCAAAACTCGAGTTTTAGCACGTCGACACGCGTTTCGTGTGAGAGGGTCCTCGATCGGGTTCCGAAAACGTACCAAAACTCGAGTTTTCGTACTCGAAGTCGAAGTTTATTTTCTTTTTGATCCTTTTTTTACATTTTTTTGATCCTGGGCTGCGTTTTTTTTGATCCTTTTTTATTTTCTTTTTGATCCGGCAGCCAAACCCTAAACCCTAATCCCTAAACCCCAAACCCTAAACCGTAAATCCCTAAACCCTAAACCCTAAACCCCAAACCCTAAACCCTAAACCCTAAATCCCTAAATCCCTAAATCCCTACTGGCTGAGCCCAGGTACACAGATGTGGAGATCCAGGGCTTCGCCTTTCCCAAGGCCATCCAGGTGTCTCTGGACACCAGCTGGCTCGAGGACCTATGGGTTAGGAAGGGTTGAGGGTTCAGGGTTTGGGGTTTAGGGTTTGGGGGTTTAGGGGGTTTAGGGGGTTTAGGGGTTTGGGGTTTGGGGGTTTGGGGTTTGGGGTTTGGGGTTTGGGGTTTGGGGTTTAGGGGTTTGGGGTTTAGGGGTTTGGGGTTTGGGGTTTAGGGTTTAGGGTTTAGGGTCCCTAAACCCTAAACCCTAAACCCTAAACCCTAAACCCTAAACCCTAAACCCTAAACCACTCTTTCATATATAATATAAATGTTAATGACTTTGCGGGCAAGGTCATATATTTAGCGGGCAAGGTCCTATATGTAGCGGGCAAGGTCATATATTTAGTGGGCAAGGTCATATATTTAGCGGGCAAGGTCATATATTTAGTGGGCAAGGTCCATTGGCTAAAAAATGACCTTGCCCACTAAATATATGACCTTGCCCGCTAAAGGGCGACCTTGCCCACTAAATATATGACCTTGCCCGCTAAATATATGATTTTGCCGCCCGCTAAATATATGACCTTGCCCGCTAAATATATGGCCGTCATATATTTAGCGGGCAAGGTCATATATTTAGCGGGCAAGGTCATATATTTAGCGGGCAAGGTCATATATTTAGCGGGCAAGGTCATATATTTAGCGGGCAAGGTCCTATATTTAGCGGGCAAGGTCCTATATTTAGCGGGCAAGGTCCTATATTTAGCGGGCAAGGTCATATATTTAGCGGGCAAGGTCATATATTTAGCGGGCAAGGTCATATATTTAGTGGGCAAGATCCCCCCCCCCCCCCCCCCCCACCCCCCCACCCCCCACCCCCCCACCCCCCCCACCCCCCCCACCCCCCACCCCCCCCCCCCCACCCCCCGCCACCCCACCCGCCCCCCCCCTCACCCCCCCCCCCCGGAGCCCCTCAAAAGAGTCAAGCGATTCAAGATGGCTTCCAAAGAATAAGTTTCCGAATGACCGCGCCTGTTTTTGAGGCCCCTGAAGCCCCTCAAACGACTCAAGAACTCAAGATGGCTTCCAAAGAATAAGTTCCCGAATGGAAACATGTGGTTAACAAATCCATTCTGTTGACCACGTTGGTTTTCTTGTCCGCTTGAAACAGAAACATGTGGTTGACAAATCCATTCTGTTGACCACGTTTGGTTTTCTTGTCCGCTTGAAACAGAAACATGTGGTTAACAAATCCATTCTGTTGACCACGTGCCTAGAGAAGAAGGAGGTTGGATATTTTTCCTCATGGTGTGGGACCCAATGGGCGGGTGGGTATTCCCCTGTGGACTTGAAAGCTGCTCAACTAGTGAATGCTTGGACCAGAGATGCTGAACCCTAAACCCTAAACCCTAAACCCTAAACCCTAAACCCTAAACCCTAAACCCGAAACCCGAAACCCTAAACCCTAAACCCTAAACCCTAAACCCTAAACCCTAAACCCTTAAACCCTAAACCCTAAACCCTAAACCCTAAACCCTAAACCCTAAACCCTAAACCCTAAACCCTCAACCCTAAACCCTAAACCCTAAACCCTAAACCTTAACCCTAAACCCTAAACCCTAAACTGTTGCAGCAGTCTTGAGCTTTAAAGGGTTGCTGAAGGGTTTCTAGGGCTCAACGGGTTGCATCACTTCGAACCCCCTACACCGCAGACCCTAGACCCTAGACCCTAGCCTAGACCCTAGACCCTAGACCCCAGACCCGAGACCCGAGACCCTAGACCCTAGACCCTAGACCCTAGACCCTAGACCCGAGACCCGAGACCCGAGACCCAAGACCCGAGACCCGAGACCCGAGCCCGAGACCCGAGACCCTAGACCAGACCCCAGACCCTAGACCCTAGACCCTAGACCCTAGACCCTAGACCCTAGACCCTAGACCCTAGACCCTAGACCCTAGAGCCTAGACCCTAGACCCTCGACCCTAGACCCAAAACCCAAGACCCTAGACCCTAGACCCTAGACCCTAGACCCGAGACCCTGGACCCTAGACCCTAGACTCCAGACCCTCGAAGATAGATGCTAGACCCAAGACCCTAGACCCTAGACCACCCTAGACCCTAGAACCCAGACCCCAGACCCTAGACCTGAACCCTAGACCTTAGACCCTGAACCCTAAACCTTGAACCCTAAACCCTGCCCTCCTGGCAGGATGCCCTGGCCTCCGCGATCATCGAGGGCGCAGCAGGGGTGGCATTTTGGGGGGTTTAGGGTTTGGGGTTTGGCGGGGTTTAGTGCTTAGGGTTCGTGATTCTCATTCCTCTTCTTCGCAATGTCCTCTCGATTTTGGTTTTGTTTTTCATCATTGTTCCTGCGAACTTAGGATGCAGCTTGCGATATTCCCCTTATACCAAGAGTCCCTAGTCGGGATTCTAATGCGGGGTTACTATCATCCCTATTCAGGAGCTGTTAGTGTAAGGGGGAACATCCCTAAACCCTAAACCCTAAACCCTAAACCCTAAACCCTAAACCCCAAACCCCAAACCCTAAACCCCAAACCCCAAGCCCTAAACCCTAAAACCCTAAACCCTTCCTGACCCATAGGTCCTACAGCAATCGCAGTAGCCCTGTTTGGTGTTAAAGCGGCCAACGCCGAGGCCAAGGCCATGATCGCCATGATGGTCGGACCAGCCGCTGGCCTGGTGTAGGGTTTAGGGTTTAGGGTTTAGGGTTTAGGGTTTAGGGTTTAGGGTTTAGGGTTTAGGGTTTAGGGTTTAGGGTGTAGGGTGTAGGGTGTAGGGTGTAGGGGTGTAGGGTTTAGGGGTGTAGGGTTTAGGGTTTAGGGTTTCGGGTTTAGGGTTTAGGATTTAGGGTTTAGGTACCCCCCTCCCTGAACATCACTTGCTCAAAGGCAAGCCCCATGAACCCCCCAAACCCCTGCAAGCCCTAACCCTGTAAGTCCGATGCATCGTATGAGCCCTCAGTCCTACAGCAAACCTTAAAACCCCAAAACCCCAAAAAACTCCAAACCCAAAACCCAAAACCTTAAGCCACAAAGCCCCAAAAGCCCTCCAAAAACCCCCAGACCCGAAAAAGCACTAAATATAGGGGTCGGAATAATTACGAATGGTATTCCCTTGTGGTCCCCCTTGCAAACATACCATAATACCCCCCCCTCCCCCCAAAACCCTATTCTAACTCTTAAGGCCCCTATACGAGGCCGCCTGCATCCCGGGGCACAACTACGTGTCCGACAAGATCATGGAAGCGGCGGAGGGCGCGGCGGGCCTGGTGAAGGACTCTGAGGGTTTGTGGGGCATTCTTTTTGATTTCTTCTTCCTTTTTTTTGGGGTTTAGGGTTTAGGGTTTAGGGCTTAGGGTTTAGGGTTTAGGGTTTAGGGTGTAGGGTTTAGGGTTTAGGGTTTGGGGGGGATTACTTTTTGGTTTGGAGTCTTCCTCTCCCCTCCCCTTCTGTCTCGCGCGAGGGCCTGATCCCAGATCTGAGCCTGGACTTCTCCACGCCACTTGGCTTTGTCATAGTACATTGCTAACTTAAACCCAATAAGGAATAGAATTTGAACAGCTTTTCACATTTAGGGCACTTAAACCCATAGGAATAGAAATTTCATTTTCAGTAGTATCCCAACCATGAGAACGAATTTTCGAGCTAGCAAAGTTCGGGTTTCCGGTTCTTCGGGCTTTCTTCAGAGGACACCAAAGGTGCCCCGACTTGGAGGTTCATGGTATTAACCACATATGGTTTACAAGTATAGCTATAAGTACAGTGATCATTGGTACATGAACCTCCAGGCAGACCTAGCTTTTTGGACCCGCAAGCCTTCTGGAAGCCTTCTGGAGAAGCATGAGAAGGGCATCTGGTGGGAAGCTTTTGGGCTTGGGAGATAGATATGGGGGTTTTTACGATAATAAGGGCTCCCCTATAATAAGGACTCCAATAAGGTACCCCAATTTTCGGGAACCCCCCAATATGAGTTGGGGAGGGGTTGGGGTTGTGGGGCCCTGAACTCTTGAACCTCTCTGCATGGCAGCAACCGAAAAGAGTTGCTGCGCCACGCTGAGGCCGTCCATGGTGCTGCTGGCCCCAAGGCAGCTTGCCTTCCACTTCAAGGATCATTTAAATTTAGGGTTTAGGGTTTAGGGTTTAGGGTTTAGGGTTTAGGGTTTAGGGTTTAGGGTTTAGGGTTTAGGGTTTTGAGCTGGAAGGGTTTCGGGTTTAGGCCGGGACGGTGTCGGAGACTACCCATTTCCAGCGCATGGAAGCCGTGCCTAAACTGCAGGCTGCGTTTCTCGGTAGAGGGCTGACAATCAAGGGGCTGAGGCCCTGCTGTGGTTTGCCTTCAAAAAAATGCCGCAGCCCAAGCCCTCAGCCCTAAACCCTAACCCTAAACCCTGTACCGTAAACCCTAAACCCTAAACCCTAAACCCTAAACCCTAAACCCTAAACCCTAAACCCTAAACCCTAAACCCTAAACCCCAAACCCTAAACCCTAAAGCCCGAAGTCCCCAAGAAGTCAAGAAGGCCCCATCAGATGGCCCCCCCCCGCGGGCTCTACTTCAGGTTTAGGCCCCAAAAAACGAAGTCCTCAAAAGTGCACCCAGGAGAGTCCCTAGACCCTCAAGCCGACCCCCGACCCCCCCCCCCCCCCAAGGTCAAAATAGACCCCAAATCCCCCAACCCCCCCTCCCCCCAAAGGTAATATAGGGTTTAGGGTTTCGGGTTTATAGAGGGGTCGGAATGATTACTAATGATATCCCCTTCTGGCCCCTTTAGAGTTATACTCTAACCCCCCCAAACCCGGTTAAAATTCTTAAGGCTCCTACCGTAAGTCGGGTAACCCCAAGTGCTTTCAAGCCTCAACTCCCCAGTAAGTGCCCCTAAACCCTAAACCCTAGACCCTAAACCCTAAACCCTAAACACTAAACCCTAAACCCTAAACCCTAAACCCTAAACCCTAAACCCTAAACCCAAAACCCTAAACCCTAAACCCTAAACCCTAAACCCAAAACCCTAAACCCCTAAACCCCTAAACCCTAAACCCTAAACCCTAAAGCCTAAACCCTGTTGGTTAGTAAGTACCATGAACCTCCAAGCAACTCCCCATAGCCAGCCCAGGAAGCTGTTTTGCGTCGAGGCCGCAGGGGCTTGGGTGGAGTTGCTCCCAAATCGTTCGAAGTCCCTAAACCCTAAACCCTAGCCCTAAACCCTAAACCCTAAACCCTAAACCCTAAACCCTAAACCCTAAACCCTAAACCCTAAACCCTAAACCCTAAACCCTAAACCCTAAATCTAAGCCCTAAACCCTAAATCTGAGCCCTAAACTTCGGCCCTAAACCCTATGCACCTCCAGGGGGTCCGCAAGGGTCGGTCTTAGCCGCCCACCAAAGCAAAGTGATGCAAAAACCCTTCATAACCCCACCCCTAAACCCTAAACCCCCAAACCCCTAAACCCTAAACCCAAAACCCTAAACCCTAAACCCCAAACCCCAAACCCCAAATCCTAAACCCTAAACCCTAAACCCTGAACCCTATCAAAAAGACGATGGGGTCTCGAGGCCGTCAGAACCCCTGGCTTCTCCACCGCCCCGTGTAGCGCTGAGCTCGGCTGCAGCCACGCAGGCGCCCTCCCCGGTTTCTTTTGCGGAACACCCCGAAACCCGAGACCCTAAACCCAGAACCCTAAACCCTAAAACCCTAAACCCTAAACCCTAAACCCTAAACCCTAAACACTAAACAAGCCTACACAACCCTAAACCCTGAGTGGCTGCGGCTGTCTTGGGTATGGGGCTTGGCGGCTTTCATGGGGTTTAATTACTGGGGTTGACCTATATAAATACACACATTGTTCTTTGAATAATTTTCATTTGTTTCACTCCAATTGCGGGGTTATTTGGGCTTGTACACAGTTGTTTGTTTGTGTTTGCTTTTTTTTTTTTTTGGGGGGGGGGGGGTGGTGGAATTCAGAAATCCTGAACCGCTCTCTAAACACTCGCAAGGTCGCGGCGTGCCGCAGCTGGCTCAGGAGGACGTGGAGCAGGAGGCGGGGGTCAACCCTCAACCCTAAACCCTAAATCCTCGACCCTAAACCCTAAACCCTAAACCCTCAACCCTCAACCCTAAACCCTCAACCCTCAACCCTAAACCCTCAACCCTAAACCCTAAACCCTCAACCCTAAACCCTAAACCCTAAACCCTCCACCCTAAACCCTAAACCCTCAACCCTAAACCCTAAACCCCTAAACCCTAAACCCCAAACCCTTAGACCCTAAATCCTCACAGAGAGCCCTGCACCTTAGTCCCAGACAGCCCTCCAGGGTATAGTAGGGTATAGTAGGGATTAGGGTTTAGAGTTTAGGGTTTAGGGTTAACGCCAAAAACCCCAAACTTGAACCCTTGAACCCCTAAACCCCTCAACCCCCCTTTTTTTGTATATTCCTAAACGCCTGAACCCCTGAAACCTGTAAAACCCCTGAAGCCCCTGAAACCCCTCAAGCCCCCGAAGCCCCCGAAGCCCCTAAACCCTAAACCCTAAACCCTAAACCCTAAACCCTAGACCCTAAACCCTAAACCGCAAACCCTAAACCCTAAACCCTAAACCCTAGACCCTAAACCCTAAACCCTAAACCCCAAACCCCAAACCCTAAACCCCAAACCCCAAACCCTAAACCCCTAAACTCCCCAAGAGCCAGTTCAAGGCGGAGCCGCCTTCGCTCTTGCAGCGCGCCGGGAAGGAGCAGCTTCCAGAAAGACGCTGCCGCGCAGCCTCCAGTGGAGGGGGAATTTAGGGGTTTAGGGGTTTGGGGGTTTAGGGGTTTAGGGGCTTAGGGGCTTGGGGGTTTAAGGGTTTAGGGGCTTGGGGGATTAGGGGTTTAGGGGCTTAGGGGCTTAGGGGTTTAGGGGTTTAGGGGTTTATGGGTTTAGTCTTTGGGGGGTTTATGGGCTAGTGGCTAGGACGCGGAGTAGGCCCTTATTTCCCTTTTTGTTTAAGGGTTGGGTTTCCCTTGTCATCCCCTTACACCCTTTTTATTCCTAGGTTACTCCTGGATCTAGCAGGGTTTGTTGTGGGTTGTTGCAGGGCCAGGGTCGTTTGATCATGATCGCAGCCGAAGATCGCCAAGAATAGCCCCTGGACAGAGCCCGGGCCACTTCACCCAGGCACCGTGTATGAGAAGTGGCGCATGCGCTGGCTCGGCCCCCACGTGGCAACTCGGCATGCGCGATGTTAAGCTTATGTTTGGTGCGCTCGCAAAACCCTAACCCCCAAGCCCTAACCACTAAAACCATGTAAACGCTCTACACCCTAAGCCCCAACCCCTCAACCCTCAACCCTAAACTGAAGAACCCTAAGCCCTAAACTCTAAACCCAAACCCCAACACCTTGCTCAGCCCTCAAACCCACAACTCCCTCAGCCCTACCCTAAACCCCGAACCCGAGACGGGCCCGGAGGGCCTGAGATTCTCGCGCCCTCATCAAACCCTGGAGTCAACCTCCCGGAAAATAAGCCTAAAACACCCCCATGTTTAGGGTTTAGGGCTTAGGGTTTCGGGTTTAGGGTTTAGGGTTTAGGGCTTCTGGTTTAGGGTTTAGGGTTTAGGGCTACAAAAAAGTCCTACCAACCAACATGTCCCGAGAGCGATTCTTAAGGACATGGCCCTGGGCTCCACGCCCTATGGGGCCAACGTCGGCTCCTGGGAGGCTCCTGGGAGCCTTTGCTTCGGGGAGTCGGTGGTCTAGGTGTACATATATGCCTTTCGCCTAAATATAAATATAAATACAAATATACATATAAATAAATACATAAATAAATAAATAAATATATATATATATATATATATGATATTATATACATATAGATGGAAGAAGTAGATGAGGAGTAAGGAGACAAAGAGGTGTCATGTTGCGTGTATGTGTAGGTGTCGGTGCAGGTGTACGTGTACATGCATGTGTTTACGTATATGCCCATGCATGTGCGTTCTTCTTGTTGAGTGGTCTCTGCCGGCGTCGTTATTCTGTAGGTATGCTGCTGCGTTTTTGCCTTAGGTTCTCTCCGAGCCGAAACCTTATGAAACCAACACCCTAGGCTCCTAGGCCCTAGACCCCAAGTCCCTAAACCCTAAACCCTAAACCCTAAACCCTAAACCCTAAACCCTAAGCCCTAAGCCCTAAACCCCAAACCCCCTTCACTCCCAAAAGCCCCTAACCAAAAACACTTGGAACTCCTAACTTCGAAGCCCTTGGCACCAAATCCCGACCCTTCTTAGGCCATTTAGAAGGACCCTAAACCCTAAACCCTAAACCCTAAACCCTAAACCCTAAACCCTAAACCCTCAACCCTAAACCCGAAACCCGAAGCCCTAAGCCCTAAGCCCTAAGCCCTAAGCCCTAAGCCCTAAGCCCTAAGCCCTTTGGGAGGCTTGCTTGGCCCTCTGCCAGGGCACAGAAGGATGCGCACAGGTGGGGGGCTTAGGGTTTAAAGCTTGTTTTGGTTTTAGGGTTTAGGGGTTTGGGGTTTAGGTTTTAGAGGTTTAGGGGTTTGAGGGGTTGAGGGGTTTTAGGATTTCTTGGCGGCTTAGTGATCGGGTTGCCGGGTTGCTACTAGGGTGTAGGGCTTCAGGATTCAGCTCTCAGGACTTTCTATGCTTGCTTGTTTTGATGAGTTTGGGACGTCCTGGGGTTTGATGGTTCAAAGGCGTTTTGAGGGTCTTTTGGAACTGACTTGCAGGTCTTTCTTGCATTCTCTGAGTTGAGAGGCCCGCTGCAATGCACGGACATATAGGGTCCTTAGGGGTTACACACTCCCCTCCCTTAAGAACCCTACAAAGACGGAACAAGTCCTGGGGCCTCGGCTGACTCCGCGAAGCTTTGTTTGGCTGTCTCGGTGATCTCGGAAGCACGAATCTAGGACTCTGGGCTCCGGGCAAGCGTCATAGCTTCCAAAGCTGTGCGTCCTTGTGTGCATGTGTGTGTGTGTGTGCGCGTGCGTGTGAGGCAGTTTTTGTGTGCAAGCATACACGCATTAACACCGGGGAAGTCGCTGGTGATGCTTTGCCATGGGTTTATTTCGGGGTCGGAAGAGTTAGGAAGAGTATTCCCGTATGGTCCCTTGATGATTATACTGCAGTAGCCCCCCCTCCTAAACCCTATTCGAGTTATTCAGGCCCCTATATTCCAGGCTTGGATCGGATCCTCGGGCCCTTGTGGGAGGAGGCATTGCAGCCCGATTAAGCGCACTGTTAGTATAAGGGGGAACATCCCAAGGTGCAAGGTTCTCTTGTTATGAAGATAGGTTCGGGAGGGGCGGTGTAGGGCTCAGAGCCTACTGCTCAGGTGGTCTATTGGGGTGGGCACTGCTACGGCATGCGCGAAGCATCCAACGAAGACCAGGACAGCCCTGAGAGGTTTTGCGCTTTTTGGGTTTAAGATTCGAAGCCCTGAGCCCTAAGCCCTGGACCCCTAAACCCTGAACCCTTTTCCCGGAACCCTAGCCCTAAACACGAAAGCTATTACACCCGATAACCCCTTCAAAAGGCCCTTTTTAGGGTTGCTTAGGGGTACTATGGGGCCTACTGGCCCATTCAGATAGATCATGGAGCTGAGGACGGCTTGGGCGGCCAGAACGAGGAGTTCACCTCCGCCCACTGCGTGGGAGCCGAGCGGCACTGCGACATTTTCTTGACGCCTGGGCGGGTAATTGAGGGCCGGAATAACTACTAATCGTGTTCCCTTAGGGTCCCTGCATACTTCTGCTGTAATAACCCCCCAACACCCTGTTCTAATCTTTACGGTCCCTAGATTATGCCTTTCAGGGGTGGAAGCTTCAGGGGTCAGGGCCTTAGGGCCTCTTCAGCACGAAAACCCTCCGGGTTAGGGCTTGGTGTCACGGGGCCCTAAGCTTGGGAAGTTAATGCTACTCATGAACCAACTATAAGTGCACTTATAACTGTACCATTAACCAGAGTTTAATAGGTTTAGGGTTTAGGGTTTAGGGTTTAGGGGTAAGTACTATAACTGCACTTATAACTGTACGATTAACCACAGTTTAGGGTGTTAGTAAGTACCATGAGCTTCGATCCCTACGCGTGTTGCGCCCCGAGCCCTGAGTGAGGAATTGGCGGATGACCATGGTTCCTGGCACTGGCATCAGTCGCCCAGCCTTGTTGCAGAAGGGGCCTTCCATGCCTACTGTTTGCTTAAGAGCCCCCCAAACATAAAGATGTTCTTCCCTATAAGGGCAATAAGTGGATGATTCATTTTTTCCCTTTGAAAACATAAAAGAGAAGAATTGGAGGTTTCCCATGAAAACGTAGAGAGAAGAGAGGTTTGTTTCCTATCAAAGTATAGAGAAGTACAGAGCTTTCATAATACGGAGAGATTGATGTTCCCCTGTGGCAGTAGAATACAGGTTTCCTATGAGCATATAGTAATAGCGAACCTAGAGATTTGTTCTCCTTTTTAAACAAAGCCACAAAAGAGGCTTTCCTATGACCATATAAAGAAAACCGATGTTTCCTGCTAAAACATAGAGATGATAGAGATCTTTTCGCACCAGCCTCATGAGACACCCTAAACCCTAAGCCCCAGACCACCCAAGCCCTCACCTCAAACCCCAAACCCCAAACCCCAAACCCCAAACCCCAAACCCCACACCCTAAACCCTAAACCCTAAAACCCTAAAACCCGAAAACCCTAAAACCCTAAACCCTAAAACCCGAAAACCCTAAACCCCTAAACCCCTAAAACCCTAAAACTCTAAACCCTAAAACCCCTAAAACCCTAAACCCTAAACCTAAACCCTAAACCTTCAGCCGAACCCCCCAGAGCACGGCCAGGCCTTGGCGCGCTGCCCTACGGCGAGTTCAGCGGGGGCTGGTTCCGCTGCATGGAACTCTGCCACTTGGGACGCCCACGTGGTCCGTTTCAGTGTTTGTTTTGTTTTTTTTTTTTTTTTTGGGGGGGGCGGGGGAGGGAGGGGGGAGGGGGGAGGTGTGTAGAGGTGTTTAGAGGTGGATTTGGGCAGTTTTTCTGAGTTGGGGTTAGCTTTTTGTTCTTGTCCGAGGTTCCCTTTTGAACCCAGTGATGTGTGCTGTGTTTGCAAACCCCAAACCCCAAACCCGCAACCCTAAATGTTTGTTGGGTTTAGGGCTTTGGGGCGTCGGTTCATTTCCTTCTTATTCAAAAGGCTTCAAATTACACCCCCCCCCCCCCCCCCACCCACCGAAAAGGAAGCCCTGAACCCTAAAAACCCTACAACCAAAAAGCCCTAAACCCCAAAATCCTAAAGCCCTACAACCCGAAAACCTCAGAAAACCCTACAACCCCAAGACCCCCAAACCCCTGAACTTCAAACCCTGATCCCTAAACCTGACCCCCCAAAGCCTGTATAACCCCAAACCCTAAAACCCTAAACCCTAAGCCCTAAACCCTAAACCCTGAACCCTGAACCCTGAACCCTAAACCCCTGATCAACGGGGTTCTGTTGACCGAGGCAAGGAGACGAGGGCCTGCGAGCAGGTGGATGCGCATTATAAGGGGCCATTTGTTGGGATGCTCCCCCTTACACTAACCCTAAACCCTAAACCCTAAACCCTAAACCCTAAACCCTAAACCCTAAACCCTAAACCCTTAATAGGGATTCTAATCGGGGGTACTAGAACCCCTTAAGGACGTTCCCCCAAGCCATTTGTGTCTTTGCCGGTGTTTACTTTGCCATTGCTTATGCTTTTTGTTTCTTGCTTTTGCCTTTGCCTTTGCCTTTGCTTTTGCTGTTGCCGTTGCTTTTGCCTTTGCCTTTGCCTTTGCTTTTGCTTGGTGATGGTTTAGAGTCGTGGTTGGGGACCCTTACACCTGTCTTCGTGACTTTGGCCTTGAGCCTCTGACGTCCGCGTTGTCCGGAAGCTCCAGAACACCGTGAAAGTACTCCAAATGGGTTCAGGGTTTAGGGTTTCACCCTAAACCCTCAACCCTACCCTAAACCCGAAATCCTAAACCCTAAGCCCCAAACCCTGCAGAAAGCGGAATCACGAGATCCCCCAAAACCAAGCGCTATTTTGGAGGTCACCTACACCGCGGAGGGGCGGTGCTACGGCATGAGCGCTCGCACGCACCAGGCCCCATACCCCTAAGCCCGAAGCCCTAAGCGCTAAACCCTAAGCCCCAAACCCTAAACCCTAAACCCTAAACCAAAAAAACCCTAAACCCTAAACCCTAAACCCTAAACCCTAAACCCTAAACCCTAAACCCTAAACCCCAAACCCTAAACCCTAAACCCTAAACCCCAAACCTCAACCCTCAACCCTCAACCCTAAACCCGGCTTCCACACAAAAGGGTGCAAAAGGGCTTAAAGCCTCAAACCCTCCACCATCCTCAGTCCTAAACCATCCTGGGCTGTCCAAGCCCTAAACCTTTCGAGAGATTTCTTGAGGGCTTAGGGTTTGAAGGTTTAGGTTTGAGGGATTCAGGGTTGAGGCGTTTGGGGGTTCAGGGTTTTGGGGTGTTTTGGTTCAGTCACAGCGTGAAGGGGTTTAGGCCAGACTTGGTTTGTGCCTCTGCCACTCGCGTTGAAGGGAAAACCTGTACACCCCCCCTTGAGACAGGGTTAGACAAGGAGGCAAAAGGGCCTTTCTCCCCAAACCCTAAAAGGGTTTAGGGTTGAGGGTTTAGGGTTTAGGGTTTAGGGTTTCGGGTTTAGGGTTAAACCCTTAAGCCGGAGTCTTGAGCCCGGATTTCTGCTCGCAGGATGCCAACGGCGTGGGCGGTAGCAACTGGGGCTTTACCACGGCCCACTGCCTTGGAGAGGCTCGGATAGGACTTTTGGGGTGTAGGGCTCAGAGGTTTCAGGGATTTAGGGGCTTATAGGGTTTAGGGTTGAAGTTTCAGAAGCCATGGAGCGTTTCGAGGCTTTAGGGGGCATGGAGGGTTTCGGTGTCATCTCCCTCCGTCTCTCTCTCTCTCTCTCTCCCTCTCTCTCGTTCTCTTTCTCTTTCTCTGTCCTTATTTTGCTATTTTATTTTGTATATATATATATACAGACACATATATACATATATATATATATATATATATTTTTTTTTTTTTTTTTTTTTTTTTT